CAAATCCTAATGATCACCCCACACGATGATATACTAGTGCGATAATGTAAAGGTTTCAGCCAATTTACCAAAGCGGACCTATCTGAGTCCGTAAATTACGAGGGATGCGAATTTACTGCTTTAAGGCCGCAATTTATGGCCCAAATTAATTCAGCAAATATTTTTGCAGTTTTTACCTTCAATCCCACCAAGGGCAAAATCGTCCAAATTTTTCTGTAAAATCTGAAACACTAAAATAACAATATCAATACGTTCAGAACTAAAAATGAACAAACTGTACGAAAAAAAAAGTTCGCCGGAAAATGCCGCCGAAGACCACGCACCGCCACTAGGTGCGCCTCTGCCTGTAGAGTATGGGTCTGGTCTCGATTTTTCTGTCCAATCACTGGTTTGGCCAGAATCGAAGAATGAAAGTCTGGTTTAAAAAAAAAAATTCTGTTCGTGTTCACTTCAATTTCAATTCTGTTTTCCTTCCAGGTTTTTCTTCGATTTGATTTCCCACCAATCTCTGATACCAATTTGTGACATTAATTTAACCTACAATTGAACAAATCAAATGCATCAGTAAAGAATTAATGAAAAACTAAAGGAAATCAAATGGAGAAGAAACTAAATTGAAGAACTAATAACCCCCCTTTTCTTTAGACTCAGAAAATCGTTCCAACACCACAAAGGCAACACCAAATTGGAAACTCTTGAAGCACAAATTTGCAACACAAAGGCAGAGAACCACGAAGGTAGAAGACCACAAAGGCAAAAGTTGAAAATGGAAGAAAAGGGCACAAAGCAGGGACAGTTCTTCTGTTCTTCCTAAGGCACGAAGCAAGTAATTTTAGTGTGTTTTAAATGAGGACTAAGGGCTCCTTTTTATAGGCAAGAAATCACAAACGAATTCCAAGAAAATCTCTTCAAGATAGAGTTCAAAAATAATGATAAGAGTTTCAAAGGTTGAAGAAGATAAGAGATATGAGGAGTTTCAAACCGTGAAGGAGATAAGAGATAGGGTTTCAACTTCAAATATTTCCTTAATTGGGTATTGAGCATCTAGCCCAATAAACTGATTTCCTCCAAATACCCAATAAGATTTGGGCTACAAACGTTTGTGGTGTGGATTCAACATTCTTCAATCCTGGGCTTATAGCCTATGAAGGTAAACGGGCCACGATTTTTCATCATTGCTTAGGGATTATTTGGGCATCACAAAAATACCCAACATGGTTACAATGTGGTTTGAGGACAAAAAGGAAAAAATGGTTCCTTGCAGAAGTAGGGCTTAAATGCGCCAAATCTCAACAAAAGCCTCCAATACAATAGAAGCAGACTAATTCAATAGGAAAAAAACGAACCCACATCTGCCAGTTTCGGCTACTATGAGGAGTTGGGGACCCCGACTTCATGCCCACATATTAAGAATATGTAGGAGATAGTTTCGACTTTCGTGTGAGAGATTGGATTTGTCATTTGTGGATTATGGGGAGACAACTAGCAAACACGACGAGGAGAAAAATCAACAAAGTATATAGCTAGACGTATGGTGAGGAGAAACACAAAGATGTCACATGAAACATAGCACTACTAATTAGCTGGTTTTCTTCCTATACATTAATTCATTGACTAGAAGCCAGGTTCCATGTGCCCCTATTAAGTATGTATTTCATTTCCGTTTGAAATGCTCAACCTCTACCGGTCCAATTTTGCTCTGTGGGGGAAAGCTAGTTGTCCGGACCTAAGGGGGGTAGCCCCATGTTAGTGTGTGGGGGTGAGACCCCCGAACTTTTCGCCTCGTAGATTAATTGAGACGATGTGTGGGTCCTAGTTTGTAAGGTGTAACAGAATCCATGAGGTAGGAATGACAAAAAAATCCGACAACCCGATACCTGCGGGGACGGGTGGAGATTACTCTCTTAATTGGGTATTCGGGTCGAGGACGGGGACGAGGCAGGTTCGGGGCGAGGGCGGGGACAGGTATCGGGAGCCCCGCCCCGCCCCGCCCTGCCCTNGAAATCGTAAAAAAAAAAAAAAAAAAAAAAAAGAGGAGGATTTTTTGTCCTTTTAATATTTTGTAGGATAAGATTTGATCTGGACACCAAATATTTAAGACAAAAACAAGCGACAAGAATTAAGAAACCTTTTAGCAAAGAATAGCTCACATCACGCATTTTGTTGGTTTTTTCCTTATTCTTCCTTTTGATACTTTAAGAATTCTCTATACTCATGTGAGTATTAGGGGTGTTAACGGCAGCCCGTCAAATTGAGAAAATATATGCAATTTCAGTAGAGTATATATATAAACACACATATACGTGGTGAGCAGCTCAAGAGCCTGCTCATCCTGCCAAGGGGCGAGCTCGTCACTGAGTCAAGTGGAGTTGATTTTGTCGCGTCACCCTCTTTACTATACCTAGCGAGTATCATCAAAGTCAACGTATTATGACATTGGGCAAGTAAATAATGTAGTCAACTAACCATATGAAATATTTAGAAACTAAAATGCCATATGACATCACATAAAATAAAAATAGGACTTGTTAATTAGAATAAGATATTGTTTATGGAGATGAAATATTTGTTTTACCATTATAAACCTTGTATTTAGCTTATACACTTATTTATATTTTTTACTCAGTTGTTTTAACTTATTTTTCTCCCTTAATGTTCAAAAGTAATTTTTCTTGATAAGTTGATATACCAGAACATTTTCTGACTTTTGCAACTCGACAGATTCACTAGTTGGATAATTCACTTCTCGTAATAATCAAATAAATGCCAAAGCCAACCTCCAATGCTCCTAATATTTAGGGCTCGTTTGAGCCCCATTTTACTAAAAAAAATGCATTTTGTNTCGTTTGAGCCCCATTTTATTAAAAAAAATGCATTTTGTACTGGTGTTACGATGGAAAATTTGTGGTTAAAAAAATAAGAAAAAGTTTTGGGTTTGCGTGTAATATTATTTTATTAAAGAATATATGGTTGAAATGTGGTCAAATCACTGTTCAGGAATACATTTTGACGGGAAAATGGGGCTCAAACACGGGCTAAGTTGTTAGAAAGTCGAAATATTCATTCATATAAATTTTTTTGTTGACAACATGGCTCCCATACTTAAAAAGAAGAATTATTTGCTGGAAAAGTATATTTTGTATTGATGTATATACAAAAGTTCAAGAATACATTTACAGAAAGAGAACAATCCAAGACCATGCATGTATCAGGGAATGTAATGCAGAGTTGCAGTTCTAAAATCATGCTTGCACCAGTTGACTTGCCATGAGGAGAAGAATCTGAACACTAATTGCAATGCTTGCACTAGCAATTATGTAGGAGAAGAATCTGCTTGTCTATTTATTCGTGCATGCCAAATTTCATTTTCAATGCCTTAAGAATATTTATAAATGAGTGATATGAAACTTTAATTACTAGACATTTATATGCTCAAGTACCATTTTGAACCACTTTATCTAAAAAGTTAAAGTCAGTAAATAGTGAATACGTTTATTTATGTTCTATATTCGACATGTGTACCTAGTCTTCTTTGGAATTCCATCACAGCATTATACACATTTTACGGTTCAATAGAATTAAAGAACTGCGTCAACCTTCATAAATCCACCTTGCTAGGTCAAAGCATCTCCAAGAGGATCTTGAAAACTGAAACGTTCTCTATTTTAAATAATCGACCCTTAAAATTATGCTCAAAGATATATTTCAAATTAACTTTTTTAAATAGAAATTAGATTTCAAATTATATTTCAACACATTTTCTATGATTGAATGCATTCAAAATATTTCAAGTTTCAATACTTCATATATTGACCCAACAATATAGAAAATGAAGGGAAATAATATAATAATTAGGAGGGAAGTTGATGAAAATAAATGATATGAAAAAATAATAAATATATATTGGAAGTAGTAAAATTAAGTGTTAAAGATAAATGGACCGTTGGAGTATTTTAAAAAAAATTCTCTAAATTACAAAATATGCTCTTTAAAATAGAGTGCCTTAGAGATGCTTTCATAGTCGATACATGTTCCGTTTTTCTATCTAAAAGTTGTCTCTAGATTATTGTATCCAATGCACTAGATATACCTCTAGTGTTGTGTTCCCTGGCTCAGTGCCGAACCAGTATCCATAGTCTTCGGTGCTATATTTTGGGTAAAACTAGTTTAAGCTGCCCTTTCTCGCGCAAGTTAGTTTGCCCCCACTAGACTCAAAAACCAGAATGAACAAAGATCTGACTAGCCGAGACTAGACTACAGTTACAGTACAGGTCCATGAACGCCTTAGTAGGCTATATGTTGAAATTATCTCCCCTCAGGCCAGAGAGCAATGAAAAAGAAAGATTAGCATTTTTCAGGTGTTCCTTTCAAGACAAAGTCAATCAACTCATTCAGATTAACAGTTGTATATGTAAAAGGTTTCTCAATTTGTAATTTAAAAACAATTGATTGTGCTTATTATTTCGTGCGGAGAACATATTTGGTGCTTGATTGTTTACATGAAGAAGTAAACGCCTCCACAACAATTAAATATAGAAGTTTCTCGTTAATAATTTATGGCATGTTCGGTATAGCGAACAATATAAAAGATGGTGAAGAAGTTAAAATTAAAATAATGTTACTTGTAATGTCAAATACAGCGTACTAAACATGCCCTTACTGAAGCGAGTTAAGACTGTAAGTAAGAATTCAAAGAAGTATCAAAGTGGTCGTGAACTTCTTTTCCGGAGAAGAAGCAACGACAGTATCTGGGGAATAAGCATCGGCTAACTGTGTGTATCATATTTCAAAAGAATATTGGTGATTGCAGCCAATTCAGAAACTATTCAACTTCCTTATGATTTGTATATAGTTTAACAGATATAGAATACAAGTGCAAATATAATACTATGCTTTCATTATGGCTTGTACTGCAAAATTTTCTACTAATCTAGATACTATACAGAAAAACGACAAAAGCACAGACCCCGATTTACACGTGAATCACTCCTCTGCAGCTGCTATCTTGGCCCTGAAAGGCGAACTGCGGAAAGATGGGCATCACTGTTACAGTCTGATGGACCCCCCGATGAAGTGCCCTCCTCACTGATTGATTTGAAGAAACTTGAGTAGAGCCGGGAGCCAAGTTGTGGAGCAGTTGGTGGTGGAGGCACGGGACTGAGACGTTCAAGCATTTGCACGACTTTTGTCATCGATGGTCTGAGGTACATATCATCCTGTATGCACCACAAAGCAACTTTTATTGCTATACCAACCCTTTCGTCCTCTTCATCTATTTTCAGCTTTGCATCAATAATTTCCTTCAACTTCCCTTCTTTCATCATCTTAAAAGTATAGGACGGAAAATGGGATTTCTCCGAGTTCTCAGCAGGATCATAGTTTTTTCTGCCCCCAATTATCTCAAGCAACACCATCCCGTAGCTATAAACATCGCTCTTTTCTGATATGGCATAGTTTGTGATCCACTCGGGTGCAAGGTACCCTCTTGTGCCCCGTAATGTGGTGAAAACGTGGCTCTGCTCTCTAGTCATAAGCTTAGCCAGACCAAAATCCGAGACTTTGGCCATAAAATTGTCATCAAGAAGCACATTCTCGGGTTTTATGTCACAATGAACGATCTTTACATCACAATCCTCGTGGAGATAAGCCAAGCCTTTGGCAGTGCCGATTGCAATATTAAATCTCGTATTCCAGTCCAACATATGTTCCCCTTTGTTTTTCCTGAAAAGCCATTTATCCAAAGATCCATTTGACATGTACTCATATGCAAGAAGCCGATGGGTTCCTTCAGCACAGAAGCCTTTGAGCCTTACAAGATGAAGATGATGAATACTGCCAATGATACTAACTTCAGCTCGAAATTCTTTCTTACCCTGACCAATTCCTTCCAATTGTTTTACCGCAATTCGAGTTCCGTCATGGAGTGTCCCCTGATAAACTGAACCAAACCCTCCTTGGCCTAGTTTCACACTGAAGTCACCCGTAGCAGTCTGAAGATTGTTGTAGCTAAACCGGATTGGCATCCCGGATAAACCTTCCAAGAAATTATCCTCGTCTGAACCCTCTTTTGGAGACTCGGGCAATTTTTTGCTCTTCCGGAGGAAAACGAATCCCGCATAAAGAAGACCAAATATAACAAATATTGTGACAATAATAATGATAACAACAAATGGGAAGCGTTTCTTGTCACTGCCTCCCACGTTTTTATCACTACCTCCAGTTCCTGAGACTTTGATATACGAAAGAAAGCCACTGCCTTCCTCATTGGATCCTTGCAAGCTTCCTATCTGATCAAACAAAAAGCAATTTCCCGAACTGCTCTCGAAGAACATAGCACCACAAGTGCAATTTCTGAGACAAGAGTCTCTGCAACCATTTAAATCTGTTCTGGAAAATGGTTGAACATATCCAAGTGCAAAATAGCTGAGGCCATCTCCTGCATTTACAAGCTCCACAGGATTCTTTGTATTGTTACAAGACGGAAAAGTCTCCAATTTGCAAGAAGGAAGGGCTGGTGGACACTGGCACTTGTTACCAGTATAACAAACAAAATACGGATCACAGGCTGCAGGCAGGCTACACTGATCTTGTGGAATTCTTAGTGATGAGGGACCAGAAGAACCTCCTTGAAGAAGAGTAAACGTGATGAAACCGTCTTCACCCAAAACCACCACCCAAGTTGCATTTGATCTGGTATCTTGAGAAAATATAAACTGCCAAAGCAAGACTTTATTTTTGTCAAAGAATCGCCAAGAATTAGCAGTAAGAGTTGCAGACACGATGCCATCACCATCCTTATTTATCGTTTTTCTATTGTCTTTTCCCATAGCCCAGTATGGTTGTTCTGTTTGGAAACCTGCGTAAAGAATCATATCCCCAGATTTAATCTCAAGGGAATAGCTCAGGTTATTAGAATTGGGACTGCTTACAAGTTTCATTCCTTCAGTAAACACCTGGTTCGTCAAGAGAGTATCCGTAGGATGGCTAAAACTCTGCCACATTAAACTGCCGTCTCTCCCTCGCAAAATCAAATTTCCCGAGTCCAGCAATTCCAAAGTGGAGACTCCTTTATTAGCAGTATCCGAGGACCAAACTTCCACTCCCCCACTTTGTAAGTAAGCATTCCCAGAATCATCAAACACAAAGCTGTCTGAATTCTGAACCGGAGAATCCCTATTGGCAGACCAAACTACAGTTGAGGTATCCTTGTGAATCACAACAAGCAGAAACAAAGTGACGTCTTGGGTAGTGATGAATCCAAAGGCAAAATTCGTATTGTTGGACACTAAAATCAGCCCATCATTGTCAATCCAATCCATTTGAGATCCTTTGAATCCAGGATTCAATTTCCCTATACGTTGAACACTAGCCATACAGATTTGTACCATAAACAGAATAAACCAACACATAATTCTGATTTTCAGAATCCTCCAATTCCCCATAATCACATGAACAGGTAGAATACAGCTAATTCAAGAATTTCAGAGCCAGGAATAAGAAGAATGAAATGAAAATCTGCTATTCTACTGTTCACAATATGAACTAAAAATCCCTCAGAAAATTGAATTTTGCAAAACCTTTTAACATTTTTGGTAAAAAAGTCACTAAATTCTATTCTTAGCCAAACATGCATACAAGAAACCCCTAATGCCAAATCTAAAGTACCTGGATTTATAACAGCAAAGGTCAAATTTCAAGACTCAAAATATAACCCAAAACCATTGAATATGACAAGGGTCAAATGAATTGGGAATACGGGACAAGATGACTTGACAATACACAGGTACTTACTATTCATACAACCAAGAGAAGATCAGTAAGAAAATTGATTCCAGTTTGAAACTGAACAAAGATTAAATCAATAGAAGAATAGCCCCAGAAAAAGTAGACAAGATTTTGCAGGCAAATCAAGAGAGGCGGTGAAATTACACATACACAAGACATACATACCAGTACTGAAGGGTAGCTATCAAGAATTCAATTCTTGGCTAAGACTGAGAACCCAAAAGGAACAGATGGATTTTGCAGACATAGGTTAATACTGTGTAACTACAAACAGAATTAGGATGAATCTGAATTTGCTTATGTCAAAGAATTGGAGAGATCTGTTTTTTCACTGGAAATGTCAAGAACATGTAGACAATTAGAGCCTGTTTGAGCTTTTTTTTTTTAATCCAAAATGCATTTTGGAATAATATTTTGACAGAAAATGTGTGATTAAATAATAAGAAAAAAAATTGGGTTTATATGTAATATTATTTTATTGAAAAATATATGATTAAAAATAAAATAGACAAAATGTATTTTAAAAATAATGGAAACGTGGATAGTCACTCATCACCAAAAAAAATGGAAAAACATAATAAACTATCGATCCATAGTTAACTTCTTGAATTGATTAATGAATTGTTTACATAATTTAATCAATGTCTATAATATATTAAAGCGTAATTATATTCATACTACATTTTTTACTTGTTGCACCACATTTTAATAGCATTAAAGATTTTTAATCTTTATTTATTATAACATTTGTGTCCTTAACGACTTTTATTCTCAAACTTTTCATTAGTTAACACATTTTATATTTGATAATAGTTTTATGTTCAGAAATCCGTTGAAATTATGTAAAAATAACTTATTTTTCATCATAATTATAAAAATTAAATAAATACGAGGTGCGAAAAAGTATTTTTCATTTGTTTCAAAACATGAAAATAAAATATCTTGATATGAATCATTATCAAGAAGAAGACGTACTAATTAAGAGAATGTTAAAAATAAGAACTCTAACTAAAAAAAAACTAGGAAATAATTATTACAATCAACAAAAATTAAGGAGTTTAACTGCAATTAAAATTTGGTGTAACAAATAAAAATTGTGATGTCAATATAGCTGCCATATATTAAATATCAAATTAAATGAGAATTATTTTTAGGATAATTTTAATCGTACTACAATTCAATTATTTCAATGATATCTTACTTTTCGTTTTTCAATATATAATAAATACTATATATTACCAATTCTCAATTAATTAACATTCACGTTAATCTAAACTCAATAAATCTTGACTTAATGAATTTATTTATGTTCACGTATTTAGGAATTTTAATGGGTGTTTAAATTCATGTATTAACAATTATATCTTATGTATCAAATATAGTATAAAAATGTTGCTCATTTGCATTATTTCATTATCACAAAAAAAAATTGAATAATAGAAGTTGAGTTTTGATAGTACAATTTTATTCTCTTAAATTTCATTTTTAAATTTTATTTTCTTTCGTTTGTTTGAGACTCGCCAAATCTTTCTAATAAATTAGCATCAAATATGACTTTTATGACAGTATGTATAAAGTACTTTAAAATAACATATAATGTACGTTCAACTTATGTGTGTATAATTTGTAACTAGATGAGTGTGCTAGTTCATGTATTGGCGGCTGGGTAGAGGGGGTAGGGTTGAAAGTGGGTAATGAATGCTTGTTAGGATAATTGAAAAGTTTAAACGAGTGTGACGGAAAAGATTTTTGTCATACCCGCCTGTTTTGAAAATTTGTGGCTAAAATTTCATCTTGTGAAAATTCTACTATTGGTAATTGGTAAATCTCCAATATTATTTTAGATTTCATAAAAATATCATATAAGTAAAAATAAATAGGCCTTCTTTGTTTCTAATTAAAATCAGATTTTAACTTAAGTTAAAGTCAAACAATTAATATTAACCACATCTTTTATGAGTCTCACAACTTTTTCAACCACACATTTCAAAATTTTTTATCACAATCTATTAAAAATCTAATTTTAGGGCTTGTTTGTCTCCCATTATTGAGAGAAAAATAGAGTAGTGAATAGTATTTTTTGGAGAATGTGTGGTTGAAATTTAAAGTAACTTTATTTGTTCGTGTGTAGAATATTTTAATAGATGCCAAATGAGGGCTGCTAACATGATAGGAAAACAAATAAATATCATGAGAAAACCAGTATGAATGTAGATGCTCAATTAGTCAGTTTGGCATGACTTTTACTTTTATTTTTGCTTTCTATAAAAGAACTTTTGAAGGAATGTACGTTAATTTTTATTTGAAAGCTAATATTTAAAGGAAGCCACATTAGACCAACTTCATCTAAAAGCTCTTCTAAGTACCGGAAGCACTTTCATAAAATTAAACAAATGGGTTCAAAAGAGCTTTTGGGTCTCAAAAGTTCCTTTCGATTTTTTAAAAGTCATGCCAAACGGCCCAGTGCGTCGATAAAATTTAATTCTCTCTCATATTGTTTTTATTTTCACTGTCATATTTGTTATTTTTTCTCTCATTAGATAAATTTGAGTTATAGACGTTGACATATGGTTCTTATAGACGCACCATAAAAACTCTACGAGTAGAACAACCACACAAATTCATTTACAAAAGATATCCATAGCAGTACAATATATATGATATAGGTCTGGGTTGAATTTTTTTTTTCAAAATAATATAATTTTTGATTTAAATTATGTCATTTTTATTCATAGAAATTGTTCGTGATCTCTATACAAGATACGTCTAACTTGATGGATCATAATTCCATAATTTTAAATCGAACTCTCGAGAAAATTTCTGTAGTATAATTTGCATTTTCCCGTGATTATATATCAAGGTGTCTCCATCTATAAAAAATACAAGAAATGGGTAATACCTTTGTATGTAGGGTTGTGCTATGTGTACACAATGCATTACACATAAGCTTATGAATACACCATTTTCTTCTTTCTAGCAAAATTCACTCAATTCAAACTTCAACAAAATTTACTATTTTACACTTTTTAACAGAAATCTTGTGCTATGTGTACACAATGCATTACACCCCCCTCACATGGAGGGGGCCCACATACAATAAATTATTTGTGGGCCCCCCTCCATGTGAGGGGGTGTAATGCCTTGTGTACATCATAAAGTGTACACATAGCATTATTCTTGTATGTAATTGGCAACTAACGAGACGGGACGTAGATTTCTAGGAGGAGGGCGAGGATAGGGACAGGACAAAGGTTAAAATATCTTAATTTTCAGTCACGTTTACTTATTTATTTATTTTATTTTTAAAATAAAATTTAAACTCAAAAACTTAAAATAACAAAAGAATAAAATTTGAAGCGAGTTCGGAGCCGGGACCATATTGTCCATCCCCATCCTAATTACATAGCGGACCGAGATGATGCGGACCACATTGTCGTCTTATTTATAGGCACTCGACTTTGAAGAAAGTGACGTCGGGTAGAATAATGATTATTTTACAGGCTGAAATTCAAAGGTAATTAACAATAAGAACGCAAGAGAAAACTCTTGAAGAAAACAAGAAATATCTTTATTATTCATCCAACAACCGAAAATAACCACAAGTCAGGTTATATAGCTAAAAAATCATAATTATCGAAATTTTACCAAAGATAGCAAAATCACAACATTCATATCAAAAGAAAATACATAGTAAGGGAAATAATATCTCAAAAATCAGGCTAAATTTGAGTTCAAAATCTATATTAAAAAGGAAAAAAATAACTTAAGGAAAACAACAAAATTTGCCCTCGAAATCGATGCACACCGAGCGAAGTTGATTTGGCCAAAATATCGAAACGTGTCCAAAAATGCCCCAATTAGGGAAGATCGTCGATTGCTAGCCATTTTTGCGCTGATCCGCCAACTCATGGTATTTCAACGCCATCAACAAGCTATCAGACAACTCGGCATCTTCTGACTCGGACCCTCCTGCATCGGAAAGCCATATTTTTTCCTGAAAATATCTGGTGTAAATGCATATACAATTAAGAAAAGAGATAGACTACACGTACATGGGGCTTTTTCACAGGCCCCTGCCATGGGGCCCGAGTACAGTTTTTTATTATTATTATTACACGTGGGGCACTCCGCTAAAGTGAGGGCCTGTAAGTCCCCTGTGAAGAATATCCTTGTACTTGGGGCTTTATTCTTAAGAAAAGAAATAGGCTATACGTACGTGGGCCTTTTTCACACGTATAGGAAAACGCATGAACAATTAGAATGTATTTGATTGGCATGGAAAATGTCTTAGAAAATAAAATATTTTCCTTATTTTGAGGAAAATAAAAACTCGTTCTCCCCCAAAGAAAATTTTTTCCTTAAAAATAAGGAAAATCAGACATATTTTTTAAAATTGGAAAAAATAACAATCAAACACTTCAAAGTAGGAATTTGGGTAGAATATTGACATTTTTTATGAAAAATAAATGTAATCAAACACACCCTTAGAGAAAAATCCAATTTCTTTAATTATTCTGAACAAAACCCGTTATAATGAAAGTTTTGATCAGCTTTTAAAGAGTTCGAATGACTAAAAGTTCAAGGGACGGCCAATAATAATAAA